AGTATGGCCCAATGAGGCCTCCAGCCCAAAATCCGCACCACTCAGTGACACGTTATGGGTGCATTTGTTTTTCGACACGTGGGTTCTCTGAACCCCAAATACGAGAATTTTGGCGACTAAGATGAAAATGTGCTTCATCGTTTAGGATGATTTTGCTCGAAAACTCGGCATCCAATTGTTGATGTTCAATAATCCATTCCACTAACTCTCTTCGCTGTTCACGGTCATTAGACTTCAGTTGTGGTAATTGAATTTTGTAAGCATGGAGACACTACGCTGTAGAGCTTCTAGAAACTTGCAATTCTTGTCCACGACGCCGAATTGACGTTCTTGTGTGTTTAACGTTTCCAACTGATTCAGTCTCCCTGAATTATTCATTATTCAAGCTAATCGTGCTTCCTATGCTGCTTTCTCAGAAAACACTCATATGGACTACACCCACCTCTCTCAGATATTCAGCTAAAGTTAGTTGAAAGCGAGGTGGTAGGCATTTGATAAATTTCAAGAAAAATGAATCTGAAATTCTTTCTCCATTCTCTTTTAGAGTGATTTCAAAAGCGTGATGAAGCTAGACCTAAAGCTTGCACAGATATTTTCTTACATGTCGGAGGTTATGAATGTGAAATTTTACAGTAAATATCACGATACAACTAATGAGAATAGTTAAAACCGCGTGTGATTTTATTAGTTAGTGAACAGCTAAAACTTGCTGGATGAGAAGAGAGAAATAATCATAGAATGGTATGCAAATGGACAATTATTGTGCACTCCTGAGATCTACATTTCTGTACCCCAGAGCCAGTCTAGGTTAAGTCCATTTTTGTCAAAAATGAGTTGAGTATGTTAAGCCTATGATAATATAGTGACTTTTCATCTACTACTTGCAGCGTCCATTTATCTGTAATGATAAAAAAGTTACGACTTTTTAACTCATGTCAAGTCGCATACAACAATACAAGAAAAATATTTCAAATTCAATTATCTCAATACTTATTTGAACTTAACCTAGTCTGGCTCTAAGGTACAGATATGTTTTACCTCAATTTGTTAATACGAGTATTTTAGTGTTCACCTTCATCTAACATCTTAGGCATGTTGTGCAATGAGTTGCATAATGAAATGCAACTACAGGATCATTCAAAAATTGTATAAATGAGGACATTAACACCTTGAACAATCTCTAATTAAGTCACAACTTGAAACTTAATCTGGAAAAATCACATGTAATAATTTTTGGTAACAAATCTAAGACTGAGTTTTTGAAACCTAATCTCAATATAATGACTATAACACTGGACAACAAATTTTAGTTTTTTAATTGTATCTTGTGGGAAAAGTGTACTTCTTTGTTAATTTTGGGGCGCTGAATCCAAAAAGACAATGAAATAAAAAAATTAGTTGCGGTTTAGAAAAAAAAACTTTTTATTTTTAAGGATATATTAAAAAAAGTAACAAGATTCATATACTTATAAGAATCACTATATGCGCTGTCTTTTTGCTGTTCTTTTATGGATCATTTCTGGAACATCTCTACCAAGAGTCCAACATTGTTGAAATATCCTGATGAAAACGTTCGCCGTGATCATCACTTACGGCTCCGCAATTGTCAGGAAAAAAGTCCAGGTGTGAGTGTAGGAAATGTATCTTAAGAGACATATTACAGCCCATCTTTTGATACGATGACAGCATATTTTTGACAAGGGTTTTATAGTTGTCAGCTTTTCTATTTCCCAAGAAAGTAGTGACCACCAGACGGAAATCATTCCAAGCAGTGTTTTCAATACCTGTTAAAGTGTTTTCAAACTGTGTATATTTCATAATATTTCGAATCTGTGGCCCAACAAAAATACCTTCTTTAACCTTTGCCTCACTTAGTCTTGGAAATTTCTGATGCAGGTATTGAAAAGCTGACCCATCTCTATCTAATGCCTTGACAAAGTTTTTCATTAGGCCCAACTTGATATGCAGTGGTGGTAATAAAATTTGTTTCGAATCTACTAATGGCTTATGCTGTACATTTTTTTGACCTGGCTCTAGGAATTGACGAACAGGCCAGTTTTGTCTGGTGTAATGAAGTGCCTTTGCCCGACTGTCCCATTCATACAAAAAACATCAAAACTTTGTGTAGCCTAGCTGCAGCCCAAGTAAAAGTGCAACAACTTTTAAATCGCCACAAATATGCCGTTGGTGCTCATCGTATTTTATGCATGTCAATAGGTACTTCATATTGTCATATGATTCTTACATGTGAACTGCATACCCTACAGGAAGAGATGGTAAAATATTTCCAATATGCAATAACACTGCCTTTAAACTCAATGTTGAACTGTCTATAAACAATCTCCATTCTTCTGGGTTATAGTTTATATTTAAAGCCGCCAGTAAGCCGTTAATGTTACTGCAGAAAACCAAGTTATTCTCCATATTGAAAAATGGTTCTAAGTCTTTGTGGCGTTTACGAAAAACACATACCGCAACATCGTCTTCTAACAAGTTCCACTGCTGCAGTCTTGATCCAAGTAACTCTGCCTTTACATTTTGGAAGTTCTAAATCTCTTACAAGATCATTTAATTCTGACTGTGTTATTTTGTGCGGTTGGTGGCATGACGTGCTCGGTATAAAATCAGGATCTCTTGACGTTGATGGCATATCTTCTTCCTGACGAATCACTCGATCGCCATGATCTGATTCGTTTTCTGATTCGCAAGTGTAGGATTCTGGGGGTTTTGGAATAGGATTTTCGTCACTGTGAGGCACAGGTCTCATCGCAGATGGTATGTTTGGGTAGTTAATAACCGATTTTTTTTTCTTGGACATACCTGTGGCTTGTCCAACACAAGGTACCATGCAAAAGTAAGAATCATTAATATGATTTGTAGGCTCTCTCCAAACCATTGGGACAGCAAAGCGCATAGACCGTTTTTTGCCATTTAACCAGCTCCTCAGACTTGAAGCACATGTATTACAGCAGATGTGGGGTGCCCACTGTTTGTCTTGATCACCTAGTTTACAACCGAAATAAAGCTGATATGCCTTTGTTATTAGTGGAGTAATAGACCGTCTCTGAGACGCAAAAGTCACATCACCACACACGTAACAAAACTGATCTGCATTGTTTACACACTTTCGAGACGTCTTGCATGAACGCTGTCAGCCAACTGAGGAAAAAATGGCTAATATAAAACAATATAGTGTACACGTATGTATAACGAAACACAATCATGCCGATTACATCATCTTACCTTGCCGAATATAAAAATGTAGCACGTGCATTCTTGTGAATTACAGTACATTAACACTGTCACTGCAGGAACACATATAATTACCGTATCTCTAAAACTTGAACTAATATTGAAAAAATAAGTTTCATTCCGGTTTTAACCCATTAAAAATAGTAATATTTTGTTGATTTTATTTAGGATATTTTTTGGCTGTTGATCAGTGTAATGAAAGTACAAAAAATCTCGGTATAGTTTCAGATTCTCAGCTTGGATTTAAAGATCACCTAAAAAATCTTATGCAAAAATCATTTTGGTCTCTAAAAGCTTTGTATAATAACACTCACATACTAAACAGGTTACTAAAAAAAATTGTGTGTATCCCTAATTCCTTCAAATTTCAATTATTCCGATTTTGTCTATGGGTTTTGCTTAGATCAGGCAAGTCGGATTCAGGAGGTGCAAAATGCGTGCCTCAGGTTTATCTATGGTCTGCGTAGGTTTGATCATATATCTCATTTGTATAAAGAAATTAAATGGCTTAAAATGAATGAGCGTCGCACTCTCCATTATTCTAGTTTTTTATTAAAAATCATAAACACTCCAGGTTCACCTGATTCTATAAATCTATAATTTTCCGACATTCTGTTCATGATATAAATGTAAGATATTTAAAAAAATTAACTATGCCACTTCATAGTAGTGCATTGTTTCAACGATCATTCTCATACATTTCTGTTAAATACCTTAATTCAATTCCCAACCAGTACCTTAATATTTCTCTTTCAAGTTTTAAAATACAATATAAGAAATATTTTTTTTAGAATGGAGATTGAATTTGATAATATAGATATATAAGTAGAAAAAATATGTCAGGCAAATTTTATAGTAATCAGTATTAATTAATATCTTTTTGAAATTTTAATTTACTTTCAGTCCATTTAGTGTTAACACGGGATTATTATTATGATTACTCTGTATTGTTGTTTGAAGACTTATTACTATTATTATTATTATTTTTTTTTGTCTTATTTTGGTTCCGTAGAGTAGCTTTAAGGTAGACTTGCGCCAATATTAGGCAATGTATTCTGTATTTTTTTCTAAATTGCCTTTGTAAAAAGATTATTTGTTGTAGGTATCCAATAAAGTCATTTATTATTATTATTATATTATTATTATTATATTATTATTATTATAAAATGGCGCCTGGAGCCTGTAGGTAATGTCAAATGTCAAAATTGTGGCCTGTGGTTATTGTATTGCTAAAATATATTAGGGCCCTATTGTCAGTCGTTTGTTAGGACTCCTCATCCGGGCCTCCTTGATATTCATAGATTTTTCTGTCCAGAAACGCAGGGGTATTTCTAGATTTCTATTGTTTTGTGTCAGCGCTCTGTTTTGAGGTTATATTTTCATTCTGAATTCTAAGAAATGTTTTCATTAACATAACCTCACAATAAAAGAGCGCTGACGCTGACAGGGAACAGTAGAAATCTGAAGAACAGGAAAGACTATGAACGACTGATGATACGCGACCCTAAGTATTAGTAATGATTAAAGCCATTATCAGGAAAAAAAATGGTATAATGGCTTTTGTAAGCAAACATTAGATGGGTATGCAACACTATGTCAGTATAAAATGCCTAACTAGGTAATTACATAGGTTATTGAGAACAAAATGTGGCTTGTTGGAAATAATGCGTACAATTAAGAAATTTTTGAGGTTATGTCATACAGCTGTATACGAAAATGACGTCATAAGCTATGGAAGATGACCTCACCTGCCTCCTGAAGGCATCAGGCATAGTAAACGTCGACGAGATCCAACAGTAAGTGTTGACCACATGATTCGGCAATCCGTCCACAATACACTGAATAGGATTCCCAACAAATTGGTTCGCTGATACTATCAAACTGCAGGCCATCAACAAGGCACAGGTAAATGTGTTGTGCATTCGGAAAACCGCACAATCAGTAACGATGTCATGGTACTTCAGGTAATTCGCTAGTCCTCCAAGCAGCTTGTACATGGTCGAGCAGTGTATTAACTCGCGTTAGTTTCTCGGTGTACCAGTGTACGTTGTCACTCAGTCCGCCAAAACCGAACTTGCGGCACACGACGTCGCATCTCACTCGGAAATTTCGGAAATTCGCGCCACGAAAACAGTTGGAACTATAGAAAATATCACAAGTGATAAACCTTTCGATGATTTCGGTATGTTGAGCAAGTAGCTACTGAGTGTTCCCCCTTGCGCTGCCGCTTCCCCACTTTGGGTCGGCCCCAGTCAGTCAACTGAGTTATTAACGTGCGCCATGGAGGTGGGTGAAACGCACGACGCAGCTGGTTCGCTTCGTGTACAGGGACGGACTGAGGGGCATTTATGGCAACGCTTTACTTTTCACTCATTGCAATAAACACTCCGATCGTATTGGTACTGTTGCGTCTTGTAGAACTTCGGATTTCACTTGAAACTTAGAGAGGGTAGTCTGAGAGATTATTTTGAATAATAAAGAAGCATGCTTTTCATGATTTTTTTGCAAAAATATTGTATTTTTAGCAGTTATTTCCACCGCCATCTGCCATATGACGTTAACGTCTGTGGATATGGTCAAATATGAGAGGCGCTTGCCTGCGGTGTTGCGGGATTGGGCTCCGCATATAGGGAAAAATATGAAAAGTGCAAAACTTATTATACATTTATATTAATTAATGAAACACAAAGCAAAAAACTGAAACAAACAACAGCGGCAAAATAAAAAGCGATTCTTAATAAGTATACAACAAAAAATAACAGTAATAAGCTAAAAATCAATAAATCGTAAATGATTATAAAAAATAACAAACAGCAGTAAAATAAAAAGCAATTTCAAGTGATTATAAAAACGAAAAATTAAAACGGTAGTAAAGGCAATTCCATGTAATTATAACAATCAGTAAAATAAAAAGCAATTTGGATGGAATGGAATTGTTTTCCGTTTTACTACTTTTTTTTACTTTCTGTTTTGTGCTGTCACTTAGAATTGCTTTTTTTTAACACTTTCTTATTTTTTGTTCTCTTAGAATTGCTTTTTATTTTACTGTTTGTTATTTTTGTTCTTTATAAGAACATGAAATTTTTTGTTTGTTTTACTACTGTTTTTATTTTTGTTCTTAATAATCACTTAGAATTGCGTTTTATTTCACTGCTGTCTGTTATTTTTTGAGTTTTATAATTAAATGAAATTGGATTTGTTTTTTGTTTTTTATAATTATATATAATTTATCATTTTTTAGCTTAATAATATTATTTTTTGTTTAATACTTATTGGAAATAGCTTTTTATTTTGCTACTGTTGTTTGTTTCAGTTTTTCGTTTTTGTGATTCATTAATTAATGTATTTAAATGAATTTTCCACTTTTCATAATTTTCCCTAAATGCGGATCCCAATCCGGCAACGCCGCAGGCACGCGCCTCTCATATATGATGATGCACATACGTCAACGTCATATTTCAGATGGCAGTGGAAATAATGAGGGAAGTAACTGCTAAAAGTACAGTGTTTTGGGAAACCAAATTTCATGAAAAGCGTGCTTCATCCACACTTTTTTTATTTAAAATAATCTATTAGACTACGCTATAAGTTTCAAGTAAAAAATCAGAAAAATCTGAAGTTCTACAAGACGCAACAGTACCGTTTTTATTTACCAAACCAACCGAAATTTTTTTAAATTAAGAAAATCGGTTTTAGATAAATTGGCGAATAGCCATCCCTCACCTTGTTTTGTTTCCATTTTAGTCGAGGGAAGGATTTGTGGCCGTTACCAAAATACAAAGCCCATATTAGGTAAACAGTATACGTGTGACTCCATTATTTAGAGGAAATACTTCCTATTTAGCGGGTTTCAAGCATACGTCCAGAGAATTTGTTTTGTGTCCTCCACTACTTTAAAAGTCAAGTGCTTAAGTTTATGTTTACGAATTTACTAGGGGCTTATACAATGCACATTGATATTCATTAGAGAAATGTAAGTAAAAGTTGTCTTTTTAAATGATTCAAAAGATTTGTTTGATTTGCAAGCCACATTCATTGTCTTGGTATACAATCAACACTTAATAGAATGAAATAACAGTATCAGATTTGATTGTTTGTTTATTAATATTTACCAAAATAGCTTGAGACAAATATGGACTAATTAATCATAAAAAAATTAGATGATTATTGATTTTTATGGAATCTGGTAAAAGTAAACTTCAAAGTATCTGATTTTCAATTAACTGTCTCAAATTTTGTATTCTAGAGCATGAAGATGGATTAATTAAGAAATCCTAGTCACTGACTTGGGAAATACACTTTACTATATCTCTAAAATAAATCTGGAGTAATTCAAGTTATTATGATACAGTACAGTCACTACTGAGGTTTATTAAAACATAGCTTTATAAGTCTTCGTAGGCAACTGAAACATGAATTGAGATACATGAACTTTCCGAAGATTCTGATGAGGTTCCAGTACTAACAGAAGTTATTCCAAATTATGGTAAAGCTATTACCCTGACTAAGCAGCTCAAAAGTTTTGTCGAAAGTCTTTGAAGCTACTTTCTAAATTAGAAATACGGGTGTCTTCTTTTCTTCGCCAATATATTTTTCATGGATTGACGAACTCAGACAATAAAAGTCATCAAAAATTTACCACGTACAAGAAATGATATGATAGTCGAAAAAACACACATTTTTACGTTTTCGACGTCAATACACCCTTTAATGAGCATTCGTTCTTCTTGATTCCTCTAAGGCATTAGTAGCCAAGTGTAAATATTTAGTTATTTCTGATTCTGCCTCAAAAATGATTCAGAACTTCTTAGGAAATCGATATCAAACGGTACACATTGACATGGTTCTATCTTCAAAGTGCCTCATTTCCTCCGGAGTGCCTCAAGGGTCTGTACTTGGGCCACTCCTATTCATTTTGTATATTTCTGATCTCCGCTCAGTTGTTAAAAATTGTAATATCCAATTCTTTACCGATGATTCACAGATCCATAATCACGACATTCGAAATGCTGAATCTGAGGTAAATGAAGATGTAACATCTATTAGTAAGTATGCAAAAAATCATAACCTTCAATTGAACCCTTTAAAATCGAAAGTCATCATTTTTTCACCAAAACTATTCAGAAGTGATGCCAAAAGAAATTTTAAAGTAAAATTAAATGGTGAGACTATAGAAGTACGTGACTCAGTGAAAAAGTTGGGTGTAGCTTTAGATGAATCTCTTAATTTTATATAACATGTAAATAATATCAGTAAGAATTGTTTTTCAATTTTACGTCAACTATATCTTAATAAACAATTTCTTGACTTTACAACTAAATAAATGTTGTCTGAATCTTTGGTAATGTCCAAAATTAGTTATCGCGATTTAGTTTATCTTCCATTTCTTGACTCAATATCTCTAGCACGTATCCAAAAAATCCAAAACACATGTTGTAGGTTAATCAATGATTTGAAAAAATGTGATCATATCAGCCCTTTTTTCAATGACATGAAGTGGTTGAGAGTAAATGAACTGTGTGAGCTACACTTAGTTACTTAGATCCACAGGCTTTTGCTATCATCTACTCCGCCGTTTTTGAGAAATAAGCTGATGTCTAGGGGCAATATCCATTCTAGGGACATTCGATTCACTGAAACACTCACAATTCCCCTTCACAGGACATCATTCTTTCGTAAATGCTTCACCTACAACGCAATTATTTTCTACAATGCTCTACCTCGATCCACAAAATTGCTATCATATGATGAATTCAAAAGACATATGAAGAAATTTATGTTGAATAGAAGGATATAAATCAGTTGATAAAATTTATCTGCCACCTCACACAAAAATATTTCCAAGATAGCATTCCTTTGTTTTTGTGTAACTGTTACAATTTTATACTTTTAAATCATGAAATATTGAATAGTCTTCACTTATATATGTTATATACATTATATTTTTTATACACCTACATTTTTAAACTTCTAACTTATCAAATGTGTTTATGTTTTTTGTATTGTTGTTTTCAGTTTTTCTTTTTTTTTTGGTTAAGTAAATTGCCATGCAGCTCTCAAAAGTTTTGTCAAAAGTCGAAGAGACACCTGAGTTTTTGGAGCTTCTTTCTAAATTAGAAATACGGGTGTCTTCTTTTCTTCGCCAATATATTTTTCATGGATTGACGAAGCGGGACAATAAAAGTCATCAAAAATTCACCACCTTCAAGAAATGATATAATGGTCAAAAAAACACACATTTTTACGTTTTCGACGTGAAGACAATACAAGAGATCTGTTTATCTAAATATGAATCAAATCTCATGAAATAATTGAAACATGTCAGTAATGTCTCTCAAACAGCGTGCGGAAATTTATTTAGAACGAAAATAATAATGTTTTTATATCACAATAAATGGATTTTACTATCTTCTTATTTTTTTGATTTGGGATAAAGAATACTTATACTGGGAGTTTAATTTATGTTGACTGAAAGTTAAGAAATGGAAAAATTACAGAATTCCAACGTTTGACATAGGCAAATATTTACATAGCAGGTAGGTATAAACAGGTGTATAAAGACTTACATTATAGGTATTTATATATCATCCTCGCCTTCGAAGCTGTCGCTAGAGTCATCTTGTAGAGGAATTACAACGGGATTTACAGGAGGCAAAACACAGTATTCATTTTCTTTTTCAATAATATGCCTAGAACACTGCTTCCATAGGTCTGTGGCAGCAATATGAGATACTGCATCTCTTATTGTGGCCAATAGCGATTCACTTAATTGAGGGGTCTGATTATGTTTTCTTACTTTTTTTAAAGCAGTCCAGACCAACTCAATCGGGTTAAAAATGCAGTAATAGGGAGGTAGACGTAATACTTCATGGCCATTTTGCTCAAGCAGATTGTCAACAACATACTCTTTTTCAAATTTTTGTCTTTTAATAAGATCCAATAATATGTCTTTGGTTGATTTTTTTGGTATTTCCATTCCCTTATCCTTCATAAAATCAATAATGTCTTGTTTTTTTTGTGCCTGTATTCGAAATTTTGTTTTTCTGTCGGGAATGGTATGGCGCATTGTTCATAATAATCACTGAATTTGGGGAAATGTTTGGTATTAACTGCTGCTCTATCCACTTTTCAAATAAGTCGGAGGTCATGTCCTCATGATAGTCGGCACATGATTCCTTGATATTTTTGGCAGATAACAGCAAGGCATTAGGTATAAATCCATTTTCACTGCCAGCATGGAGAATAATGATTCGTT